ACTTCATTTTCTTTTGACTTGGGTTGTACTGTTACTTCACTTTCCTCTGACTTAGGTTGTACTGTTACTTCACTTTCCTCTGACTTAGGTTGTATTGTTACTTCACTTTCTTCTGACTTAGGTTGTATTGTTACTTCACTTTCCTCTGACTTAGGTTGTACTGCTACTTCACTTTCCTCTGACTTAGGATCTACTGCTACTTCATTTTCCTCTGACTTAGATTCTTGTGTGACGTCATTTGTGATTTCATTCCCCCTCGTCTGTGGTTCTTGTGTGATGTTATTTTCTTCTAACTGAGGTCCTTGTGTGACTTTGTTTTTTTCTGACTTTACACGTATCTCACTGATATCACCAGTGATGCCATACCTTGGCACATGACAATCAATCTGCGATAACCCAGTATTGAACTGTCCCTCTTCACATTTGATATCATATTCTGTAAACCATGGTGACCACCTCTTAGTATTCTGCATTTTCCCTTTTGTTTTTGTGTTTGAATAACAAACATCTCGACTTTCAATATTCTGTAACATTATTGATTGTTTTGACAGATTATATTGCGTAGACCTATCTAATGGTGTGTAATCTGTGTAATGACTTTTGCTGAAACAGTTCTCACTTTCCGTCTGCAAAAAAACATTTTCCCATAAATTGCCTTTATCAATATATGAGCCTGAATTTTTTATTGGTCGAGGTGATACCATTGGGCCCACATTGTGTTCAATATGCGTTTTCTTGTGAAGCATCAAGCTGTTTTTGAAAAAAAATCTTTTCTTACATTTAACACAACTATGAAGTTTCCTGCAAACATGCTTCCTGGCATGAACCTTCAGAGTACGTTTAAGGTAGAAACACTTGCCACATTGATGACATTTGTACAACCTAGTTTTGGTATGTATTCGTGAGTGCAGATTCAAGGTACTTTTTCGGAGGTATACCATGCCACAATTCGTACATCGAAAGTTACATTTTCGTTTCAGTAGTTTCACATTTCTCTTTCTTGTACTTTTGTGCATTTTTTGTGGCTTCATTTCCACCACTTCTTGCTTTCTTTTGTGTGCTTTTAAATGATTGTTGAACTGGGATTTACCAGTGCAAACTCTTCCACATATTTCACACGAGTACCGGTACTTCTTTTTTGGTGCATGGGATTTTATGTGTCTTGTTAGATTGGTTTTCGCAGAAAATGTATTTCCACAAATATTACAGGTATAAGGCCTTTCACCAGTATGTGTTCTCATGTGAAGCTTCATACTACATTTATGTGAAAAATTTCTACCACATGTATCACATGTGTAAGGTTTCTCACCAGTGTGTGTACGCATATGTTGCTTCTTGAGCGCATTGACTATGAAGCAACGACCACAAATATCACATTTGTATGGTTTTTCACCAGTATGTGTTCTCTCATGGTTTATGAGATAATTTTTTTCTGAAAAACTCTTTTCACACCATTTGCACTTATGGGGCTTTTTTCCTGAATGCATTCTGAGATGCTGTCTTGCACTATCATAATAGGCAAACCTTTTCCCACATATTTTACATTCATATGGTTTTTCTCCTGTATGTCGGCGAATATGCTCCTTCAAAACTTGTTTATAAATGAATCCTTTGCCGCAGAACTCACACTTGTATTTCTTATATCCATTGTGCTTATCTATATGTTGCACCAACGAAATTTTGTGACTGTACTTTTTACTACATAGATGACAGGAGTACGGTTTCAATCCACTGTGTGATAATTTGTGGCGATTCCTATTTCCTTGTTGAGCAAAGTACTTCCCACATATATCACAGGGGTATGGTTTTTTACCACTATGTCTTACTTCATGTACTTTCATCTGAGATTTATCAGTAAATCTCTTCGGACACACACTACATTGGTAAGGTCGTTCTCCTGTATGTGTTCTAATGTGGCGTGCCATATGACCCCCAGTAGGAAACCTTCGATCACATATTTTACATTTGTACGGCTTTTCACCAGTGTGTGTACGCAAGTGTTTTGATAATGTGCTCTTAATTGAAAATCTGTTCCCACATACATCACAGCTGAATGGCCTTTCGCCTGCATGACTTTTTCTGTGGCGTATTAAATATGGTTTCTGGGCAAACGCAAAACCACATATATCACATTTATAAGGTTTCTCAAATGAATGGCATTTTTCATGGTTTTTTGCCATATATCTAAATAAGAAAGGTTTGCCGCAGATTTTACATGGGTGTGGTTTTTCTCCCGTATGAATTTTCAAATGCGTTTTAAGATTGTATTTGTTTTTAAATCTCCCCTTGCAAATGTGACACTCATATTTTTTTTCACCAGTGTGAGAGATTTCATGTCGAATTAATCCAGATCTTGAGTAGGACTTAAACTCGCAAGTATTACACTTCCACTTCTTTTCTTTGATGTGTGTTTTTTCATGACGTTTCAGAGCGCCTTCTTTGATAAATTTTCTTTCACATGTGCCACATTTGAACTGCTTTTCTCTCGTGTGTCGTTTCTTGTGTGAGTCCCGGTAATTTTTTTTAGAAAATCTATTACCACATATATTGCACTTGTAAGGTTGTATGCCTTTGTGTATCTCCAAGTGACGCTTCATTACTTCACGACCAAATCTTTTGCCACATGTAGGACACTTTAAAAGAGTTTCCTGAGTTTGTTTTTGGGTCTCCATTTTAGAATCCATGATGATAAATATTTTACAAAGATGACGATGTCACATAGTCAACTGAAATAAAAAAAAAATTATGTACCATTACAGTTTGTAAGCATATAAAGTCATCAGGGGTTTATCTAGAAAAAAATTGCAAGAGGGAGCACTGCAATTTAGCCAAGCCACCAAGTGGGGGAGATAGGGTTCTCCCTACCAGGGTGTAGAGTTTTTGATAATTCTAAGTTAAAATGGAGCATACTATGGTTTCCTTGGGGCCAAATAAGCATCTAACCATGGGGCTTTGTGTTTTTCCTGAGTGTGTGCAGGTAGGACCCCTCCCTCCGCTTTAAGAACTGAAACGAATTAGAAATTAGATCCATTTGAACGAAGATTAGCATAATTAATTAGCATATGGTCATTTCCTTACAGGAAGGGAGGGAATATCAGTTTATCTAAACAAAATGTTGCAGGGAGAATCCTGGCTAAAATTCACATACTAACAATTCTGACAATACAGTTTAGTACCAACAACACAAGCGATAGTAATGTTAATGCTGGTATCATTTGAGCATTAATTAAAATTAATTCTTCGATTAATTATAAATGTACTTCATTAATCTCTAAGTCTTTCATAGAATATTATAATCTAAATTAAATAATATACGAAATCAATAAATCAAATATTACAATATATTAATAATATATAATATTTTACTTGACCAACATCCCAGACTTGTTTGAGTTATAATATCCACGCAGGGCAAAAAGGTTTATGCTGAAGCCAACAACAGTGAGGACAGACACCCAACCATGATGATTCGTGCCCCCTTAGTATGGTCGCACATTCGGCGCAAGGTTGGTGAGCAGATCTCGCCCCTCCCATGCAACAATTCGTGCCGCCGACTCTGCATATGCTAATAAACCTCGTAAAGTATAACTTTGTGTATTGAACATGATATTCTTAACAACTGAAAACAAATCACAATATTTCTCACTTCCAATTTTGTAATAGTGACAAGGAAACTATTATAAAAGTAATATTGTTATACTAATCAACTACTATTATAGTGAGTGTACACGTTGTATGTTGTAACGCTCGTTCAAAGTCCGTTTTTACTGCCATATTTATATGAATGACCTGCAATGTCCTTAGGGTTGGACCATTTGATTTTTAAGGGGGGGGGGGGTCAAAAACGAAAAAAAAAAATTTGCAAAGTGAAGGGTTCTTCAAAAAAAAAAATTGCTGCTTCACCAGTGTAAAAAAAAATATTTGTCACTATATGACTTCGGGAAAAAAACGTTTCCATCAGCTGTTGTCGTGTCATCTCTGAACACGGTAGATTCACTTGAATTACTGCAAAAATATGGCAATTCTTCCTGCCAAGATAAGGGGGCACATAGTACAAGAAGAAACTAGGTCATATATAAATGGATGTCAATAATTCTGGTTTGTGGATTAATTAATAGCAGAGGGAAAATTAATATCTGCATTTCAATATTAATTTCAAAAACAATTTCACTCTGGTTGCATTTAGATTTTATACCATACATGCTCTATTAGAAGAGCATCTCAAATAGAAGCACATGTACGGCAACAATTGCATTGATTGTATACTGATTTATTAAAATATGATGTATTTTGACCATAGAAACACCTCTGTTATTTACACAAGAGCATGCGCTACTAATAGAGCAAATGCGGTATTGCATGCAACATCTCTGACAATTTAGCTGTTTTAGTTTAAATACATTTACAGACTAAAACAGAAACATATGCAATATTGCTGACTACTGTAAAATACTTTATTTT